TAACATTGCCTGGTGAATGCTATAACAGCAATGTTTGTTTAATTTATACTGTAATTGTTTTGTGTCAGTTAATCTAAATCAAATTTATAATGTTGCACTTAGCTTTCATTGCCGGATGGATGAACATCGGTATAAAACATAGCTAACATTAAAATGGTGAACATAAATAAAGTACAGTAATGGAAAAAAAAATTGTATAGGTCCTCTGGACGGGTTCTTCTTTAATGAAACGTTTCGTCTCTCCTCCAAGAGACTTCTTCAGTCTGAGACTCTGAGTTCTCAGACTGAAGAAGTCTCTTGGAAGAGAGACGAAACGTTTCATTAAAGAAGAACCCGTCCAGAGGACCTATACAATTTTTTTTTTCCTTTTGATTTTTTACCTGGATTACTGAGATGCATCAGGACAAAGTACAGTAATGTTTTACTCACAAAATATGAACAGTAATAAGTTCATCTTACGTGTGAAACTTTATCCTTCAAGTTCTGATTTCAYGAGTTTGTCGACTAGAACCAAAATATGCCGCACAGGGCTGAGCTGAGGCATCTTCTGTTGCTTGGGTTTAGCCAAGGAGACCGTTCCAAGATGGCGGCCGTATTTCATTGCTGCGGCGCAGCAGAGAATGCTGGGTCTACTCTATATATGGTCTGTGGTAGTAATGTACAATAAAGCTAACTAACTGCCTGAAGCCATGTTGAGTTATTTCAAAGTGAATGCCTCAACCGAAAAGAGCTATATAGATCTGAGCCTGAACTTCATGACGATCTCACCACTCCATCCCTAGTAAATGAATTAAGACTTCCGTCATCATGAGGTGGAAAATGACATTAATACAACCCATGAGAGTGGTGTAGGAGTTATCAAGCTGATGTCATCTCACAGTAAGGCACTTTGTCAGCAGTGACCCATCCTTGCCTGGTCATTTGCCACAATCAAGCTACAACTTTCTGAAGAGAAGGGATGGAATGAAGCGAATGGATATGGCCAAAGGTGACACCGTGACTCAGCTGGTAGAGCTGTTGCATCTGAGCAAGACGATTGCCAATCAAATCCCAACCAGGTACCTTTCTGTGTAGATTTTGCATATTCTCTTTGTGCATGTGTAGGTTTCGCAAAAAATAATTTAAAAAAAACACGTATTGCTTCACCTGCAGCTCAACTTGGGACTAACGACGTCTGTACCCTTATTAAAAGCTGAAACGGGTCCATCCTGAGCGCACAGAAGAGCTTTGTTTACGTTTGTAACACAGAAGTAGAGCTGAAAGTTTACAACACTGCGCATATCCGGACTTTTATTCTGAATAAAAGTCTGGTGCATGTAAACACTTGTCATGATCGGATTGTGTCCATGTAAACAGTACATTTGGATTATTTAATCAGAATACATTTCAATATGATCAAAAAATTCTGTGCATGTAAACATAGCTATTGACTGCTGGACAAAGGGCACCGGTGACCCTGAAAGAAAGAAGCGGGTAAAGGTAATGGATGGATTTAGCCAAAATTGACTGTGGTCATCAACGTTTTCACCACAAGTCTTTGATGAGACTGAAATCAGCTTAAGCTGCTTTATGAGTAGAATCTAACGACATTGGGCCTCATGCAAGAACCATTCGTCCGCACAGATTTGTTCTTAAGTTGTGCGTACGAGTGATTTAGGAGAATTTGTGMCATTCACCAATGTTTTCGTATTCTAAGATTTTTTTCAGATACGAACAAAATTTACGAGTGGTCCAGACCTGTCGTATATTTTACGAGCAGTCAGTCTGCTGTTATCCAGACGGGTTTTCTTCACTAATAACTTTATTTTTCGTTAGTTTGAAGATAATTTGACTTGAAAATAAATTACACTCCATAATTATGTTGACAATAGGCTACTCTGCTTGAATTAGAGTTATAATTTTAAATGTAATAATTTAGACTAACAATATAAATTGTATGTCCGGCCGGCTTATCCGCTATCGGGTGCTGGGGGGGGCAGCAGGAGAGACCCCGCGCTCTGCGCAGCGACACTTTCCAGCTCGTCCTGGGGAACTCTGAGACGTTCCCAGACC